GACTCCCACGTCAGCAGTGGAATCCATTAACTAAGTTCCGGTTGCACTTGAAGACAGCAGGGCCACACAGGTGTCACCGAGGGAAAGATTCTGCAGGCCGGATCCAGATGACAGGACGACGGGGGAGAAGGAAAAAGTCCAGCTGGATGCACAGATGAGTTTCCAGGCCAGACAGCTTAAAACAAAAACCCACCAGCCCCATCCTTCCTCTAGTCAACTGTGAACATTTGGTTGGAGTCACAGACACAACCATGGAGCACAGCTGCATTTTTGAGATGGCTTCATAGCCATTAGCCCGGGGTGAAATCCTGGCCCTGTTGAAGTCAGTAGCAAAATGCCCATCCACAACCACAACACTAGGATTTCATTAAACGCTCCCCGGAATCACAGCTTCAAATCCGAGCAGGCCTGTCTCCATCGAGCATCCTTCCTGGAGAGGGCGTGTCTTGTGGTTAAAGCTCTGCATTGCAACTTGGTAGATCTGCTGTGCCACACACTCCCTGTGCGACCTCAGGCAAGTCCCTTAGTCCCTCACTGTCCCAACAGTAAAATGGAGATAATCCTTCCTTTGCCTTGTGTGTTAGACAGTTAGCTCCTGTCTCTTATGATGCGTGTGTACACAATGCAGCCCGGATCTCAGCAGGGACTTCTAGACGCTACAAATCATAGATCAAGTGGGCCCTAATCTTCTCTCATTTAGCCCCCCATAAGTCAGAAAGGCAGCCTAAGAGAGAGGAGAGTAAAACCCACTGAGGTCCATGGGTGGATCTTTTTAATAAATCCTCTCCGCACAGCAAGAGCCCATGGCATCTTTCATGGGCCTATAGCTCTGCTCAGACAAAGTTTACCCTCCATGCACCAGCTGCTATTTCCTCCCCCACCCCAGAATCAGCTGCATTTAGAGTCTCTGTACATACAGCAGCACGGAAAAACCCCTGTGGACCCTTTCTGAGTGAGCAGTGCTAGCTACATAATTAATCAGGAAAGGCCCTTTCTGAAATCAAATCCCCTCTGATCAGATCAGAAATCCGCTGGGCCAAAGCTTTGAATACCAAGCCGCGCACTGGCCCTGCCTGCAGCCCAGAGCCTAGCTTTCAAGCGTGGCAGTACTAAAAGGACAACAAATAAGGCTCCAGTTTTCAAAGCCACCGAAGGGATTTGGCTGCCAAAATCATGATTCCAAAATTAGCCACAACGTTTAAGATCTGAGTCTGCAAATTTCTGACAAATTTCGAGACAACCCAGAGAAGATCTGAATTTGGGCCAAGGTTAGTAAGAGCCTTGGGACCGGGGCTGTCTCTTCATTCAGTGTTTTGTACAGCGCCAAGCAGGACGGGTCCTGGTCCATGACTATAGCTCCAAAGTGCTACAGCAAGAAGGCTCATAAACTAATAATAATTTCTTCCTGCTGAATCTCTCGAGAGGCTCTCGTGCCCCACGGCAGGATGTGAGGCCCCTCTGAGACACACTTGTCCCATTGGAGAGGGATAAAGTGAGGTCTCGCCCGGGACAGACTTGTCCCATTGGAAAGGGATAAAGTGAGGTCTTTAGGGAGCCCCATCAAGTGGTTAACAATGGGGTACCAAGAAGAGATGTAAACATTAAAAAAATGGAACCGGAAACCCCAAGGATAATAACGTAAAGCCAGGGATTTTCCTCCGAAGCAGACACTGTAGGGCTGGATCCTCCAGAATGCTCATGTTCCCACTGAGACAATGGGAGCTGCTGGGGACTGAGAGCTTTGGAAAGTCCAGTCCGTAGGACTGAATCTAGGGTGACTAGAGAGCAAGTGTGAAAAATCGGGACACGGAGTGGGGGGACAATTGGAGCCTATGTAAGACAAAGCCCCGAATATCGGGACGGTCCCTATAAATCGGGACATCTGGTCACCCTAACTGAATCTAAGGCCCACTGAAATCAACGGGACCCTTTCCATTAACTTCAACGGGCTCTGGACCAGGCTCGTAGTTAAGGGCACACAGCACTGCCAACGCTTGTGACTTTATTGCACGTCTTAGGACCCGGGGCTTTTTTCTTACAAGCAGTCATGTGATTACAGGAGGAGCATCCCACAGCCTTCACCTACCTCAAGAATTCTCTGCTCCTCATGGTCGCAAAGAAAAGCTTGAAACCATGAAGCCTCAAAAGGCAGCTGCATCAGAAGTCAAAGAAGAAGAACCCCACATTTAAAAAAAGCATGAAATTTATTATGCCCATCTCGTGATTTTTGAACTCTTGGGACGAGCAAATGTTTCATCTATTAAGCCAGAAGAGATTCTTTTGATCATCTGCTCTGACCTCCTGGATCACACAGGCCAGAGGACTTCCCTGAATTAATTTCTGTCTGAATTAGAGAAATATAAAGCAAGGTCCTGTTCACCCTCGCCCTAACCCATCCGATTCCCCTCTTCTCCCAGAGCTAGGGCTAAAAGCCAGGAGTCCTACTTGCCAGTCCGCTCAAACCACTCGACCAAACTCTCTTCTCAGTGCCGTTCATGTTCCTCTTAGTGTTCCACACCCCTTGTCCCCATTCAAACCATATGCTCCTTTGAGCAGGGACTGTCTCATGGTAAATTGGTCCAGCTCTCAGCACAATGAGACCCTGATCCCAACTGAGGCCTCTGTAACCATCATCCTGCCTCCTCTAGGGTAGGAGCGACGGCATCTGGAAGATCACACCCCGTCCCGGGCACAGCGTGAGCCCCGAGAGCGAGGAGGGAGTTCAGAGAAGAGAAACAAACTAGCGAAGGGCTCTGCCTTGGGAGGAAAGGTTTAAAGAGTTAAACAATGGGCAGACAGAAATAGTAACGCTCCGCAGACATCCGAAAGGGTGTAAGCATGCAGGGAGGAGGCATTACTTATTACGCAAGGAGGACAGGAACGGAGAGAAAAAAAACCGAGGATGAATACTAGGAAACATTTCCCGGCAGTGAGCTACGTGAGGGCATGGAAAGACCTGTCCAAGGGAAGAGCATTTGTCGTCCATTCCCCCATGGGCTGGGTGGCACCTGACCAATCTCTCAGCTCTAACCTCTCTGATCCTGCCGGGGTTCTTCACGGTCACCACCAGACTGCGTATTGCACCGTGCATACCAGCTCACAGCCTAGGTTCTGCTCTCAGCTATACCCGCATCCATCCACAGTAACCCCGCCAAAGTCAATAGCGTTACTCCGGATTTACACCAGCGTGGCCAAGAGCAGAATCTGGCTCACCCTTTGCAGCACCGGGGCGCGCGCTGGGCCTGGTGATCTGAATAGAACACACAGACAAGCCATTAGCAAGCAGTTTTCCCGGAGGAACATCTTTCCTACCATGGCCCCATTTTGCTGGTCACCTGCAAGGATAACAAGGGACAGATGGAGAAGGAAAGCAGGGAGAGGAGTGAATCCCACACACCCCCATCATCCCCTCCCGCCCCCCCAGCCTCAGCAGGCAAGCCATCTAGCTCCAAAAGCAAAAGGGAAAACGAGCCCCAAAGACCAGAGGTGCAGGAGCAAACGCATCTACCAGCAGAACGGCCCAGGGACCACAGGAACAAAACCCATCGCCCGGCAATGAGGCTGCAAGCGCTGCAATATTCCAGACGGTCCTCCTCAAAAGGATGCAAGTAGGAAGTATAAATTATTTAAGAGCAGCTGCTGCTCTGGAGCCTTTTCATTCCCCCCACGTGCACACACACACACACACACACACACACACACACACTCCGCTTTGTATTTATAGCACACGGCTAGCGTGCAATACGAGGCATCAGCAAACCTTTGTCTCATGGGCAATAATACACCCGTTTTCCTTCTCCCATCCCAGCCAGCAATGGGGAAACGAAGTGCCGAAGCCGTCCAGCGAGAAGGTCAAGAGACAAGATTTCGATTTGAAATAATGGGGATTTGGGGGCGTTCATGCATCCAAACCGGCTTTGCATCCCCTTGGTCTCTACGGCACAAAGTTTAAGCCCTTACGAGGGCAGGTGTCCAGAGAAAGGGATCCAGGGGGTGGAGGCAGGGCTGCACCCCACAAGTAGTCTCCAGAAGCTGCAAAGGCCAGGCACCAGTAAGGGAATGCAGCCGGGGGAGCATGCACCCTCTTGGGGAGCTCCAGAACGATCCCCCTCCCATTTAAAGGCCCCCGGGGAAAAACCACCCCACCACCCTGACCCCCAACCACCGCTGCTCATCTAGAGCCATGTGCCCCCGATTTGCTTCCAAGGAGTGCGGTGCGATTGGCGACCACACAGCCTGTCTCACACCCCCAGGCACATCCTCCGAATCGCGACCTACCTACTAACCAGACAGACAGACAGACAGACAGACACACACAACACAAGCTGGAGCTCAGCCAGTCCTGACGAAAGGAGGCAACGTTCCCGCTGCCAACCCCCCTGCGCCGGATCACCCCCCCCCCATACACGCAGGCAGCCTGGGCATTCTGCGCTGCCGTTTCATAACCATCCAGTCTCTGCCTTTTGTTCCAGCGCCCATCCTGGCAGCCCCTGCACACCCAGGGGCCTGGATGCCCCCCACCTCCCCAAAAAAAGACTTTTACCCATCCAAGGGAAGGACGGGGCATCTCTGGCAGCAGGATGCATGAGCAACCCCGACCCAAGGGTGCACACACGTTGCAAATGCACCTGCCAGGCGGTGCCTGCCTCCACCACCTCCCCCCACACCCGCCCAGCCCAATTCCCCCCCCCCCCACCTCCCCCAGCGCTTCCTCTCCCCGCAACATTCCCTAACAAAGCCCTGAGCCACCAACAGCCGCTGGGCGCCCCCGGGCCCCTGCTCCTCTGGGCACGCACAGGTCGGTTACCTGTAACAGGTATGGCTTCCCCGCAGCCGCTGGAAAGCCTGTTCTTGGGGGCGGGGGGGGGGAGGGCTGCACCCTGCACCCCCCCCCGGGGTCAGGAGCGCCGCCGGGCCGGCTCCCCTTCCCCTGGCACGGGGCAGGAGCCCGGGAGAGGCTGGGGCGCTGCGTCCCCGGGGCGGGCGGGCCCCTCCCTTACCTGCAGCGCTGCTGCCCCGGGGGGGGGGCCAGAGGGGGTGGCTGCAGCTGGGCCCAGCCGGGCTCGGGGCCCCCTCCCTGCGCTGGCTCTGCCCCACCTCCGCCAGGGATCCGGCTGCCCCCCGCTCCGGCTCCTTCAGCGCCCGCTCCGCCTCTCCTCCATCTTTGCAGCTGGCTCCGCTCGCTCCCTCCGGCCCCGCCACCAACAACAACATTCGGTGACGTCACTCACCGTCACGTGACGGAACCCTGGGCTAAAAATAGCCTCCTCTCCCCCCCCCTCGGCCGCCGCCGCCGCCGCCACTCTCCTCCTCCCCCCTCCTGTGCCTGGTCCCCGGGGGGCGTGGCCTCAGCGACACTGTCTTAAAGGGCCAGAGGAATATTTTTTTTTGAGGGGGGGGGCAGCTTGAGGCCTGGCTGCAAAGGGTCGCCCCTCCAGGGAAGGATGTGAGCAGAGGTTTGCAAAGCCCAGCGCTCAAAAGTGAGCCCATGCCGTGAATTGCCCCCTCCACCCCCTCCCGGGGGGGCAACCCGAATTCGGGCCCCTTGTGCCTCGGCCCCGGCGCTAATGCCAGGCTCATGCCGTCAGTCCCTGTGGCTTTTCCTCCTCGGTCCATATGCAGCCCTGGGCCTCACCTCCCGCACGCCGCCCGAACCCCCGCGCCGACTGCGGCGTGGTTCCTTTCTCCCCGGGGTGCTCCTCCCCGCCGGGGCGCCCCGGGCGTGTCACGGCCCCTTGCGCGCTTAGCGTGTCAACCGCCCTGGGAGAGGGCCCAGGATCCCCATTTTACAGACGGGAAACTGAGGCCCAGAGACGCACCCGGGCCAAGATGTGGCAAAAGCGTCCACTCGTTTTGAGGGTCCAGTTTGCGACGCCGTGGGCCGGTGGGTTTCACGGCCGCCTGCTGGCAGCAGAGGAAGGTGGAGGCTCAGGACTCCTGGGTTCAGTTTCAGCTTAGGGAGCTGGAGTGAGCTCTAGCGGTTTAGACCAACCAGCCCCTGTGCCTCTGGCCTGTCCCATCCCCCTCTGCCACTAGTCACTCCTCCCTGGCTCCTGCCCCTGCCCCCCCCTTCTCCTATCTACTCCCTTGCCCAGCTCCTGTCCCCCTCCTCTGCACCCATATCCTCCCCCACCCCTCCCCTTGCCTCCGCTCCTCCCCACCTCTGGCTCCTGCAATCCCTTTTCACATCTCCTCCTCATCCTCATCCCAATCAGCCTTCACCTCCCTCCTTCTCTTCCAGGCTGTCTGGGCTCCAGCTGGGGGAGCACTGAGAGCAGAGAACCCCTACCCACCCCGATCTCCTGGTGTGGCAGCAACCCCTGGCAGCCAGACAAAGCAATTGCAAGGGAAAGTCCTGCTCGGTCCCTGCAGTCCTGGGCTGGAGCATGCTAAATTGCTCTGTGCGGATGTCACATGCACAATCTGGTCACACGTAGGAGCTATGAGGGGGATGGAGCATGCTCCGTGCAGATGGCATCTTTGGCAGAATTTATCACCTGAGCTCTAACAAGTCTCTACTGAGCATGTGCAAATTTAATTTTTGCCGAGACTTATAACTTGGCCAACTTTGGGCACATTTTCACAGAGCTGGCAAAAGGCACAGGCCTGACTCCTGCCCAGTTCCAAACCCCTGCTCCAAAGCATGGAGGCACTTCCTGAAGAAATGGTGGCAAGAGGTTTTGTAACATGAGCAAAACAAGTGGGTTTCCCCTATTCTCACTCTCTGAAATGGCTGAACTGTTTGAGGTGAAACTTTCCAGAAAAATTCAGCGTGAGGTCGATACCTGGCATGGAAAACATCATCCCCACCCGTTAACGTTTGGCAATGTTTTAAGCAACTGGGAACAGGATATTCTAATGGGAAGTGGTAGGCAACTTTCACGGTAAGGCAACACTCCCAGCCCTAGGATACAGAAAGTGAGAGTGTATGATCCCACTTATAGCAAAGCGAATCCAGAGTGAGGCCAGGTGTAAATCCAGAGTAATTCTGGAAAGAGCTCAGAATCTGGCTCCTTATGCACCAATTAACACTCCTCTAAGCCACCTTGAACGAGGCCTGACTGCTTTTTACACGTTTGTCTCTCTCTTCTGGTAATCCCCATGACGCCACTTACACAATTTAAGGGCCTGATCCTGCACACACTCACTCCAGAGAACAGAGCCCCCTTCACCATTTTCTGTCACCCTGGCAAAATGAGTGCAAAGGAGGTGAAAACATGACCGTCCTGGGCCCCGATCCTGCACACACACGCTTAACTTTGTGCACCTGCATTGTCCAGTTGAAGACAACTCAATATTAAAGGAATGCCTTCAACTTTAACTTCGCTCCAACTTCAAAGGTGGCCAGAACCAAGCTAGCCTCAAACCGGTGCAAAGACTTCCACAATTCAAAGACAAATCCCGACAACTAGTGCCATCAGTTGCTTTTAAACAAATGAATGTCTGAACTGCAGCAATTGCAGCCCTGCCAACCTGAAAATGAAACTGACTTGCCACCATGAAAACCAGGATGCAAGACATGTGGCAGGTAAACACAGCCTATAAAGAATGGCAGATAACTTGGGTTTTAAAAATTCTCTTGCTTTTAAGTCCCTACAGTCTCATATGTTAGGAACTCAAGCCCTGATCCTGCAGCTTGAGCCCGCTCCCTGATTGCTCATGGCAGGATTAGGGATATAGATTATAGATCAGCGCAAGGGACAGGGAAGAGGAGCAGCCAGAGTATGTTGTGCTCCCGCTCTGTTGGCAGGTGGTCTCTTGGGCTAGTTGGTGTAAGTGAGAGCAGCCCCAAGGTGGCACTACACTGGAACTGGGAGGAGAATCAGGGAGCTGGAACCAGCTTCCCAACAGCCCCCCACCCCTGCTACCACCAAAGGGGACCCAGGGCTTGATCCTCACCCCTTGCCCCAGTTTGTCTTCTTGGGCGGGAGGTAGAGGACCATGCCCTGATTCTTCAGAGACAGCAATGGCAGCGTGGCTCTCTATATCCCGGGCGCTCAGATCTTCAGGCCCCTTGGAGAACAGAGTAATGTGGCAGCAGTGTTGTCTAGTGGCCTGGGAATTCCTGAAGAACCAGTCTCATCTCTGCCACAGATTTGCTGTACAGTCTCAGACAGGTCACTTGACCTCTTTGTGCTCCAGTTTCCTCATCTGTAAAATGGGGATAATACTCCGTCGAGGGGTGGGGGGTCAGAGAGAGAGCACTGCTCGCTACTACATGGAATCAGAACTTCTTACCTGTGTGTCATCGGCCCTATACTGACAACACAAAGGAAATTCTCCTTGAGCTCAAGGGAGAGGAGACTTGGCTTTTGGTGCATTAGCACTGTGTTTGAGATGCAGATACCTCAGGGGATGTAGGTTTGTTTTGTCTGGATTTTTTTTTTTAAGTCATGTCTAAACCCCAGAGTTTTTACAAAGACAGTCTGGGTCCCACTTTGACCCTGCCAAGGCTCTTCTGTCTGCCCCGGAAGCCAGTGGAGATGCGCCAAGCTCTGACACATGCCTTGTGCTTGTACTCTTTTGCAGGCTGTAATATCTTGGCAGAGGAGTTCGGCCCAGCCTGGACCTCTGTAATCAATTTACTATTAAAGCCAAGTGGGCAAACAGCACGTTAGAAATAACCCCGGCGTCTGGAGCAGAGGGAAGCCAGGCCACCGCGCTCCAGGCTCAGACAGGGACAGGCAAGGTCATCATTCTGTGGTACTAAGAGACCTCGCTCACCTGCTGAGCCTTCGGGGACAATTCCCCAGGGCTCAGAGTCAGCACCCAACACCAGGGCTGGGTTTCCCAGCAGTGCTCTGCCCCCCACCCCAGTGCACTACAGGCTGACCTACGACAAAGACCTGGCCATTTATTTTGGTGCCTAAATGGATCCCGGGGAGGGGAGGAATCAAATTTTTAAAGCCACCGGTCACAGGGGACGCTCGCCTCGGGATTTACCAGCCTGAGCTGCCAGCACTCCCTGTGGCTACTGCCCTTCTCAGCGTCTTGCCAGACTCTGCAGACCAGGGCAGGATCCCCGGGGCTTCCTCTCCCCGAGAACTCGTCCTTCTCCCTAGGGAGTGAGAGCAGAGCTCCTCCCTGCTACATTTAGGCTCCTCCCATTTAAATCAATGGGCATCAGGTGCCTAAATACCTTGGAGGATCTGGAGTTTAGGAGTCCAAATCTCATTGGAAAGCCAGTGAGATGTAGGCTCCTAAGGGCAGTTTCTATGCACCTAAATACATAGATGGGCACTTTGTGGGGAGCAAGTTAGGTGCCTATCTCCCAGGGGAATTAGGCACCTAAGCTGCTTGGGTGCGTTTGATAATCCCACTAGGTGCCTATCTACATCTTTAAGCACATAAAGGCCTTTGAAAATCTGGCCCTAAGAGACTTTTGAAAATGGATCTTAGGCTCCTAAGTGATTTGGGCACATTTGAAAATCTGGCCCCTTGGTATTTGTACGATAGCTCCACAGCACACCCAGCAGCGTGTCTGTGTGTGTGTGTTTGTGTTTAACTGGTGACCCTACATTGCCCATGGAAACTCATTGAGCAATTAAACAGCTTTCTGAGCAGAGATCGATGATCCCCTGGGGTTTCCCTATCTACCCCCTCTGCATGATCCCAGGGTAAATTAGCTCAGTGCACAAGTCAAAATATTTTTTTTCCTCTTAAACTACTCTTGCTTCAGATTCCACCTGGGACTGGAAAATCCAGCTTCCCCTTTCGTCGGTCCTGCCTTCAGAACGGAGCTGGGGACTCTGTTGCTGTTGCGCAAGGTGGAGGGGAATCCAGTTTGCTCTCCCTTAGCTCTGGCCTGCTGCAGGGCAAACTTATTGCTGTCAGCAAACTGAAGGGCCCAGTGGTCATGGGAGTCAGGACTCCTGGGTCCTAATCCCACCTCTGATCTTGACTCCCTCAGCTGTCTTGGGCGAGTCACAGCAACACTCCGTGACTCAGTTTCCCTATCTGTGACATGGGCATAGTAAGGCAATACACCGCTATTGTCTTTCCAACTCTGTGGTCTGCCTCAGAGACGTGGCAGATGGGGGAAGTCCCCAAAAGGAAGCTGAAGGCATTCCACCAGCATAGGTTAAGAAGACTCGGGAATTCATTGGCAAGATCGCAGAACCAACGTGGAAGTGCTGCCCCCTACAGGTCAGCAGTCTGCAGACTCAGTCCTTAGATGGAGAAGGTTACGGTGGTCTGGCCGTACTGATACCCAAGGCACATCTTGGATTGGGTTC